TGATGAAACATCTGTCGTCTGTGGAAAACTGGTTATATTTTTTTTAATCACTGTGGAAAATGATTGTTCAGATTTTAGAGCTATTGTCAGTTGCACCCCAGACAGCAGCAGTATGACGAACAGAGAGGAGAATCAGGTATAATTTGTATTAACTGCAAGTCTGGAGCCGCACATTCATTTCCTTGAAACAGCATAAACACGGAGAGTTTAATAGACCTTTTTGAGCTCTGCTCAAAGGTTAATTACCACAGACTGTGCTATTATTTGGGTTATATTATATCTTTATTTGGGATTCACTGCAATTGAGCGATATGTAGAATATTTCTGTCTATCTGTAGCATCCTATATATATTTCTTGATATCTGTGAATGACACTGATTCCTCTTTCAACAAATTATGACCATGAAACTGTGACGTGTTTCACCCTCCTGACCCTTTGTTCCGGTGTGACAGGAACGGTTTGATAAGCTAAGCCACAGCTTTAAATCCAGTCTTAAATACAGCACTCCCCCTATTAAAAATAGCCGTGTGCTAAGAGGTTAGGGGCTCCTTATTAACAGGCATTTATTATGAACTACCTCTCTATCTGGAGCAGCATATATTTCAGACGTGAAGGGAAACTGAGGAACCAAGCGTTTACTACAAAGCGACACAAACTGGCAATATGCAGCTTGGCTGTTATATCAGCGGTCAGCGTGGAGAGAAGTGAGATCAGGAAATGAATGAGAGGAAAGTTCATCTACGTTACATCTTGAGCATTGATACATTTCTGATTTTATCTCTCAGGTCAACCACACAGCGATTGGAGCTATCTTCTGTACATAACGCTGGGGAACATTATGCGGCTCGCAGAAATACAACACACATATAAAAGCCCTGAATCAAAAGCTGAGGGGGTGTTGCAGAGTCTTTGCAGCAACAGAAGATATTGTGTTTGTAAGTTGCTGAGTTCTTCGACAATGAATTTTATCTGTGCACTATTTACCAAAGATACTCATGTTGCATTGTTTCTTCTTACCGGGTCACCATGAGGTCTGTGCCCTTTTCCTGAGGGTGACCGTATGTGACCATGTCAATATTAATGTTGATCCAGTGAAAAATAACACAGTCGGTTCATCTGTGGCCATTTCGACTAGTAAAAAAAGGCTCCTGTTGCATGCACACAAGCACATGTGATATGCATGTATTGCATCTACCGTATATGTGTACGTCTGTTTGTGTGTGTGTGTGTGTGTGTGTGTGTGTGTGTGTGTGTGTGTGTGTGTGTCTGCGCATATGCTCGCCTGTATAAACAGCAATATTACCACTGATTACTGTTATATGTCTGCAGGTAATTGTCATTTTTCTCTCTCTACTCATGAGACCTGCTTTTGGTATGTTAATAAAGTCTTTCAGTGGAGGCTGCACGGAGCGCTGAATGCACTCGCTGGGTTTTGCATTTCAAAATGCACTCTCACGCCTCCTCCAAGAGGATGATGGAACTGTCACATTTTCATCTGCTCCCTCTGCTTCAAAGCACATATGTCTTCGCCACCACAATGGTGGCCTCAGACAGTCAGTCCATGGAAAACCTGTTTCTTTGTGGAACCTCTTCTGGCCCGTTATGTTATTCTCTTTATCATCAAGGAGAAAAAGATCCGGGAAGAATCTTCAACCTGGCTGCTTCATTAAAATGTTCTGCTGCGTCCTATTTTAATGCCACTTGTAAAATGTAAAAGAAAAAAAATGTTCACGTATCTTGTCTGCTTTTGATATTTTCCATACCTAGACTTTCTACATTATCTATAAAAATAGTTCATTGGAAACAAGATTCTACAAGATATATTTTCTCATTTGCTTTGATGCCACAGCCCTCAACGCTCCTTTTCTTTTTTTTCCCCCACACGCTACCATAAAAGTTGTCTCCCTTTGTTCTTTTTCCAGCTTTACCACATCTTCCTCTGTATTTGTACTTTCTTTCTGGGGGGAGACCCACCACTAAAATCCCAGAGGTGTGTGCCTGAGTGTCTGCAGTGTAACTCTGAGTCATCATTATAAGTCTGCTCCCATTCTCTTTGCCGCATGTCATTCCTTTGCCTACACTGCATCACCTTCTCTCTCTCACACACACACACAGTCTCTCTATTGTGATACAGCAGCAGGTGCTGAACTGAGATAGGCAGCATCTAAAACATGGACTTCAATACACATTTAAATATTCACACACATAATTTAAGATAAAGGGCCCACTTACTAGCTTTCAACTGCATCTGACGGTCTTCTTCTAGTGGATTCCTTGATCCTTCTCCATCTGTGCTCATTCGGTCTCTTGTCCAGGGTTCTCGTCGTCACATTGATCTGGTGTTCCCAACACTGGTTGCATGAGAAGTCATACACCGCTCCAGTGTTCATGCTACTGTGAATTGAAATCTCTCACCAGATGTTTTGACAGCTCGGCCGCAAAAGGGAGTCCCACTGGGATGTTCCTGACGGTCTTAAATGATTTAGCTGTGTCCATCCTGGTTTTAAACTGGGGCGTCCAGCATCGTCCTCTCCTTAAAACAAATAGTTCCACAATATTCCTTTTTAAACACAGTATATGTGAGTCAAAACATAAAAGTGGGCACTAATAAAACATCACACACAAATTTGCTTTTGTGGGTCTAATTGATCAGACTATAGCTGATGAGACTATCTGATTATATGACTGAACAAAAACATAATCCACACCAGCAGAATCTGTCTGATTAGATCTAATCAGACTTGAAGAGGTATCTAAACAGACCGCACTGCTCTCCTCTGAACCTCCTGTGGCATGCAGAAATCGTTCATGCGCATCAATCACCATCTACTCAGATGTGTAATCGTTCAAACTCTGAATAAATCTGAGCAAGTCCCTGGCCTGGTTCGTGCTTCCTGTTTGGTTTGATGAGAACAGTGAACAGCTTGATGTGGCTGACCTTGATGTTCAGGATTTTCACACTTTGATGAAAATGGTGCCTCTCAATATGACCGCGCTGAGACGGCGAAATACTGAAATGCTGCCCACTGTGGCCAGACAATCCAGCCATAATTACATAATCTGACACACCCACCGCTTTTAGTTCAGCATTAACTAGGCTCAGATACTTGTTTCAGTATCCTTGTTGGGCTTGTTGCGCACGCGCACACACACAGACACACACAGACACACACAGACACACACACACACACACACACACACACACACACACACACACACACGTTCCATGCACACAGACATGCCAGGTTTTTCAACTGCTGCTGCATTCACTTCTATATGAACTAGTCGTAGTAAACATTATGCATGTTTCTGTACATTTTTGTCAAAGTTACATCAATGTTATGCAGCTGAAAGCACAGGCTTTATAAGTCCCAGTGTATTCCTGTGCTGCTGACATGCAAAGTCTGACATGACTGAGATCTGGCTGATTGTCAGAAAAGCAAACATTGAGGACAAACAATATTTAAATATGGACGCTGTGGAGAAATATGCTAAGTTCATAATCAAAGTACAAAGTAAGTCAGTTAAAATGTCTCTGAGTAAACGTGATACATTTTAAAAGGGGAGGGGTAAAACATGTTATATGGTGATAATAATAATAATAATAATAATAACATATGATAAATCTATTTAATCAAAGAGCATCTTGAGGCTGCCAGGTGTATCACTTCAGAGATGAGGACAGCACCTAAATCAACCGGTTAATTCCAGTCAGGCACTTTGCAGTCTGTGCACACAACTGATAATTAGCCTACTAATATACACTCAGTTGGCAATTTATTAGGATCATCCAGCTAAAACCGATGTATTCTAATAAAAACAGTCCTGCAATAAATCCTCCTTACCTCCGGTACCAGGCAGTTGAGTTCCGCGTGCAAACAGGATGTAGAAGCCTGTTGGACGTTTCTGAGTATTCTTACAGCAGACTGTACTCGGAGCCAGGCATGGGCTCATTGTGGCCTTACTGCGTTTTGTCGTCCCTACATAAAGCGACTTTGGCCCAATACCCGCCTGTGCGCAGTCCATAAACGCAGGTCTCTGTGCGCTTTCTCCGGTTCTTCCCTGCACGCCCCGTTTCCTGTTCACCTGATTTCCAGAAACTGGCACAGGTAAGTTCCTGCGTTTGTTTGTTCCCCAGTTTACTTTTTTATTCTGATATTGAAATTATTCTGGAAAAGACTCGGCCGAGTCTCGGCCCAGAGATCAGGCTGAAGTGCGATCCGACTCCAACAAACCAACACCAGGCCTTAAGTCCACCACATGTGCCGGGCTCGGCCCAATGCGGTTCTGGTGTTGGGCCTGAATGGCTTAATTTCCTATTTTTCCCATGCCAGCCCTTCCTTTAGATGCAGGATGGAATCAGATCTAAACATTAAATCTGTGAACTCTACTCCAGCATAGTGTAACAAAAATAGGTTTCAAGATTATTAATGCTGTTTATGCCAAATTCATTCCCCACCTATGTGAATTCAAAATAGTAACATCAGAAAAATTTTGCCTCCTTTTATGTGGCAGTGGTGAAAATTAGTCATTGTCAGATTGTCAAAATTGGTTGTGTGTTCAGAATCATGGAGACAGAACAATTAGATTCAAAATGTGATGCAGGCTCGGGCTGATTTCTTTTTCCTGGGCAACTTTCATGTTTTCCCCAAATGATGTACACAAATCTCTGCAAGCAGATGTTTACACGCCCGTGTACTGACAGCTGTTCTGCACACTGTGAGAAGGGAAGACTCCCATTTATCCATCTCCACTGATTTGTATACAGCTCAAGAAAAATTTGAGTGCGCCTTACTGTTGTTATTTACGGTAAATGTTAGTCGTTTAGCATGAATGCCTGTCAATTATTAGGACAAATTTTACCTTCAATTTTTATGGTATTACACAGTTTCGATGGTCAGAAAATCAGCATTTTGAAAAAATACTAAAATGCCCTTAAGAACAGTAAACACGCATAAATATGTGTTAAAAACTACTACCAGGTGGATGACGTGTGTATGTGCGGGTCCTTCGGACTTCCGGGTGGTGTATAAACAGGTTGCTAGCCGAGTCGCCTTGTAAAGATGTGAGTTTTACTCCTGTTTTGTGTGAAATTAAGCCGAAGACGATTTCATGGGAATTAGCCAGTATGAAGGCGCTGATCTCTCTCATTTCATTTTCTTCATTAGGTCTAAAGTAACGTTTAAAATCACCCTGACGTCGGACCCCCGGCTGCCATACAAAGTGTGAGTACATTGACAGCTCAGCACTCACAGCTTTACATCTCTGTACACTTCAGTTTTTTTTAATTTATATACGTTATTTAACACTGGTGACAGTCACCACAAATTCTGATATTTTTTACTGTTATTTTTTAACCTTTGCTGATGTGTTTGACCAGCGCTACATAATCTGTGGTCAATGAGACAACATCTGTTAGTGTAAAGCTGTGATTCACATGCTGCCACCAGCTAACGGTGCTGTTAACTTCCCTTTTTATATTAGTGTTTTATTTTTCTGAACATGGTATTAGTATGGCCGACAGCAGCTTACAGCATGTGGAGTTCTGTTATACATTAAATGGATCTTACAGGGTGTCAACAATGAAAATAATGTTACTTAGTCTTTGACAACTTTGAGTCATGTGACATAACAACTGCCATAACAATAAATAATATGAATTTACATCTCATGATAATTATACATTTTATTTATATAACACTTTACAAAACAACTGTTACAAAGGCAATGGAAGCTAAATAAATGAAGCACAAGTGAAACCAGTGTAATAATATTTAATACAGAGCAGTGCAAAAAAGATCAAGATCAAATAGAATAGTGAAAAATTAAAAAGGTAGAATAAAGTGATTAAAAACATATATGTATATACATAAATATGAATAAATACACTGAGCACTTAATTAGGAACACCCTACTAATATTGGTCAGGGCCTCTCTTGTTCTCAATATACCCGGTGTTCTTTGTGGCATGGACTCTACCGTATGTTGGAAACTTTCCTTTGAGATTCTGCTCCATGTTGACATGATTGCCTCACGTAATTTCTGCAGATTTGTCAGCTGCACATTCATGCTGCCAATCTCCTGTTCTACTTCATCCCAAAGGTTTTGTACTGGATTCAGATCTGGTGACAATGTCATGTTCATAAATCAGATTGAGACAACTTTTGCTCTGTGATATAGTGCATCATCATACAGGAAGGAGCTATTAGAGGATGGTAAAAATGTGGCCATGAACATGGTCAGCAACGATACCCAGATAGGCTGTGGTAGCTCAAAGTGTGCCAAGAAGACATTCCCTGCACCGTTACACCACCAGCAGATTCCAGAGTTTGGAGCCCGGTCATGTCTGGTCACAAAATTGGATCTGGAAACAGGAAGAAGTAACTGACATAGATCTAACTGAGAGAGAACTATGGGTAGTTCTCCTTTGATCAAAACAGAGATGACAGACAGAAATAGTCACAGGCTTGGCTGGTGGACCTCGTAAAATTCTTTCCTGGCGAATGTAAGAAGGAAAGTTATTGCTGTGACATTCATTCGGCGCCATCACACTGGTGTTCAAAACACAGACAGTAATAAAATTAGTGGAGGGTCATACTCTGTGTATAAAACCCATAATTTCTAGGTGTGCCACTGTGTGCGCACCATAATCCATGTCTGCTGTGTTTTGTCACACTCAAGCACAGGCATGTTTACAGACGTATAAAAATACTTTGTTTGGAATAATAAATTGTTTCTGATATAATTTCTCCACAAAATACTTTAATTACCCCATTAAAAAAAAAATCTTAAAATTGCATTTACTCTTTCTCACTTGTAAAACAAAACCATTATCTATGAATATGCAAATATGGCTCATTTCAAAAGTTTAACTGCTGAACGGAAGATGACACGTACTTCACTCTTGAAGTCATGTCTCAATGTATATGCTTCCTGATCACACGTGTAAATGACATAAAACATCAGACAATTTAGGTGTGAACTGGCAACATGATCAGAAGTACGTCTTGATCTCAATCTTGAGGAGCCAATGTACAATTCAATACAAAACACTATAGAAGAGTGTGATTTTTCCAGATTATTCTCCAGATGATGCACATAGCAGACCACATGATATCAATAAACAAGGATACGAAGTTAAAAAATTCAGTGAAATTTACATTTTGCTTTGGATCCCTGTCATTTCTATATTTGTCCTGTTCATGATAATACAGTGCTGGAATGAGTCACATTGCTGCAGAAACCAGCATATCTACAAAATGTCAACCAGATACTGATAAGAGTGATGAAAATCAGACACCAATATGTTTAAAAAACTTTTTTCCCACAGTAATTTTGCCTCTTGGTGCATTTTAAATTTCCCAAAAGAGCTTCACTGAATTGAATTTGGATTTGTCCGAGTGCTAATGAATAGTTTCAAAATAATGAGGCCTTCCAGACTGTTCCAATACTCCACAGGGTGTCAATTCTCTAAGAGGGTTAGACAAGGCCTCACTGCAGCTGTTATGTCTTAGTATGAACAGAGGGATGATAAAGGCAGTAAATGAAGCATAATATTATTTCTGGCAGAGACTTAACCTGAGGACACCGTCAGTCTTTTCAGCTTATTTTTTTATAATCATTATTCACATTCAAACCAGTTACCACTCACTCTCAGTTAAGACAGTATGGTGGTGTTTGTAGTCTGACAAGCTTCCACTGTCTCACTGACAATGCTGAGGCTCCTCTCTCGGCTTCTTGTTGCTGCACTGATGTCGATGTCGATTGATTTTGCCCTCCACCACCTCAGCACCCGCTATATTACCGTACTTGGTGATTGCATCTCTAGCCTTGAGATTTTTTTTTTATTTTTATTTTTTTAATCTCGTATCACAGCAAAATATTTGTGTTGGTTTATGTTTTCATAGTCCTTGGGGGGGGGGTGGGGGGGGGGGGGGTTGACTGTACTGCAGGTTTCATTGGAGAAGCACATCTAGCTGAAACTGTATAACTATTTATGCCAAAAATGGTCACACATGCTCTGACAGAAATGACTCTGACAGAAGTAATGTTACACTCAATTGAGTCTTGTAAAGGAAATTTCCTTTTGTTCTCCCTTTTTCTGTGTGTGGAGCTGCTGTGGTATAAGTGTCAAGCCCTCAAACACCAGAGCAGCACAGGTGCTTGTCGATCAAAGCTCAGGTCAAGAGGTTGAGAGATGATATTTAATCATGTGGCGTTCCTGCTTTAAAAAGCAAACAGTAAAAACATGGGGAATAAAGTAGAGGCTGGAGTTTGTGGTGTTTTGAATTAAATCCTGTTTTAATGCATTGTTTTGCTACAGACTAAGCGTCCCAGAGAGCACGCCGTTCACAGCAGTTTTGAAGTTTGCGGCTGAGGAGGTGAGTTTACAGTTTTTGGTTGTTCTCTAAAGACTTTCAGGGTGTCTTGCTTTATGTACTATCATAGAAATACTATAAGATGCATACTTATACACATTAAGGGATCCATATCAAGAACGTTTGGCATTTACATGTTTATGTATATCAGCAAATAAATCATCATCTCTGGCTTTTATTATTATTATTATTATTATTATTATTATTATTATTATTATTATTATTATTATTATTATTATTATTATTATTATTTTTAACTC